TCTGATTTAACTGCATTTGTCGGTTGTGTATTTTTGTCTATTTCTTTTGAAATGAAATTGAATATCTTAGAGAAACTAGTTTTTTTTATAATTTTCATAGAAGAAATGTCTCCGTTTTCCTTTTACACATAATAGCTAACACTTTGCAGCATTAAAACTTGACACCAAAATCCGAAGGCATATTGGATCAGCGAAGGAAAAGTTCGAAAAACAAAATACAAAGAAGCAAAATGTAAGTAGAAACAAAACGTTTGTCGAACTGCTATGCAGTATCAATCTTTTTTATTATGGTAGTGAATGCTTGACAATATCCTCATAAATGAAGCGAAGAATTGTGGAAAGAAATATTGTTCTACAGAAGCATGATGAAAATTGCGTTGAATATGAGTTTAAACAAACGAAGGAGTTTTAAGGAAAATGGAAACCAATCGGACACAAAATCAGAAAGAGACATATAATCAGGAAGGGTGACTTGGATAACTTGACACTCACAAGGGAGATCGAGGGCAAGAAATATTGTGTGAATAAATGGCGAAACTGGAGGCTGTAATATTGACAAAGGAACATGTTGGAAAGGGATACAAGTGATACCAACTTGTGGAGAGTCATGATCACATCGTTCGAAAATGACACGCTATGGAAAAACTTCCAGTCTGATGTGGACTCTAAATATTTTTTAAAAAGTATTTGCTGTTTTTTTTATTTTACAAATGCGCGAATAAATATGTATCACTATTAATTCTAACAATGTAAAGGCTGTCAATATCCATATTAGGAGGGTTTGTCTTCTTATGGCTTGCCAAATGTCATTTAAAGTTGCCATGCATTTTATGCATTTGTGCTATAATCCCTTTGATCATATTAAAGCTATAAGCAACATATGGTATTGCGAGCAATATCATAACCATAAATCCGATTATAAGCATTGATTAATAATCCTCTTATTTTTTCTGTCGAGCTTATTTGTAACCTTTTTGTTTGGCTTCTGATACATTCTATCGGCTTATATATATATATATATATATATATATATATATATATATATATATATATACAAACACACACATACAAACAAACATATATATATATATATATATGTATATTTATATATTTATATATATATATATATATATATATAATAAATGGAAAATTCCTTTCTTCATTGAAACTAAAAATTGATTACGGGTTTAACCTTTCTAGGCTTCATCAGATCAAAAAATGGAAGAAAGAAATATGTGTGCGTGTATTTGTATGTATGGTTAAATAATAAATCGTTAGAACATTTTTTCGCTAAGCTGACGTTTTTCGTGATGTAAGCACGTAACATTTGTTAGAGACAAAAAGACATAGATCATCCTATTCCGTAATCCTCAATTGGTTTAGAATTCTGAGTCTGCTTTTTTACTTTCGAAAAAAAACATGAATGTGTTACTGTCCATTTAACAAGAGTTAACGTTGAAAGAAAATTAATGGATGAAAGTTTGGGAAAGAGTATATAATATCAAATGTCTTCAATTATAACTTTAAACATGTAAAATATTAGAAGCGATGTTTTATTTAGATTTATGCAATGTCGGATTAGACTTTTTTCTATATCTAATTTAATTGGACAGCTTTTTCAATTAATTTATTTGCATATTAACTTGACATTACCGAAACTTGTTATGAACAGTATTCTAAATAAAAAAAAAATCATGCTGTAACCTGAACATCACATGATATATTTTCTAAATGATTGTATTTATATACTGAAAATTATATACTAATTAGAATATATTTTATGGTGAAATCAGCGACATGTTTAAGAAAATATTTCATAGTGTCTTTCACACCTACAGGAAAAAAATCTTTATCAGTTGAAGATTAAAAGTGAATTTAATTTACGATCCATTCTTTTTATTTATTTTTTTCTGCCCGCGGCATGAATGGGGCGTGTTCTCAAAAACAGAAATAAACTTATCTTTGTCCGATCTCAACAAATAATCACGAAACTGTCCTCGTTTTATCTTTTTGACTAAAAACATTTTCATAGGTTCTCTCACTTCTCCATTTGTAAACCTCGTGAAATTACAGATTATTCACTCCTCCCGATTTACTCAAATAGATGCAATTAAAAATGTCATTTTTTTTTCTCCTCATCGGATTCTTCATTTACTGATGAGTAATGCCGTATATAGATTTTTCTCTCCAATTTTAGCGATTAGGAAATTGAAATTTGTTTTTCTTTTGTATTCAGAAACTAAGCGACATCAAAGACCATCCCATGTTTGTTTGATTCTGCGTTAAGCTTGTAGAAATGCCGTCAGGATTTTGCTACCAGGAGGGATAAATAGGTGGAGAGAGAAGAAGGAAAAGGTTTAGAAGAAATGTCATTTCCGTCGATTTTAAGCTGTCACGAAAAATGTTCGAATTTAAATTATGTTATGAATGTAATACTTTAAAATATATTCTATAATGTAAACGCTCCTGACCAAGCATTTCGACTTCATTCAATTTCTCACCATTTAATTGCTTCCAGATCATATATTATATATATATATATGTGTGTGTGTGTGTGTGTGCGCGCGCGCGTGTGTGTGTGTGTGTGTGTGTGTGTGTGTGTGTGTGTGTGAAAATATATAAAAAATAGAAAATAACTCGTTAGGTAGATAATCGATACAAAAGTAGAGCATAAATATAATTATTTAGTTAAAAATATGATTCCATCACTACATAAGAGTTCTCATGTTTCAAAACAAGAGCCGAAAACTTCAATACAATTATTTGAATTAAATTGAATTAAAATACCAAGCTCTGTTCCATAAAACGCGTAAATTTCAGGAATTAGTTATTCCAAAAATAATTTCGCTTGAATATGAAACAGAGCTTGGTACGTTAATTCAAATAATTAAATTGAAGTTTTCGGCTCTTGTTTTGAAACGTGAGAACTCATTGCAGAGATGGAATCATATTTTTTAAATAAATAAATAAATATCTATCTATCTATATATCTATCTATCTATCTATATATATATATATATATATATATATATATATATATATATATATATATATATATATATATATATAATTTACGGTATTTTATAGCAATTATAGGTTATATTGCAAATAAAGAATAATTATTTGCTATAAATGTGAAATTCTTTTTTATAGTTACGGCCAATTAACCATACACTTGTGAGAAATATTAATTCTGCCAGATTACGAATACTTCAACTGAATAAATTTCCTTGATGTTTGGTTCTTAAATCACTAGTATATTTATAAAGCATTCAAGTAAAAGATATGTGAAACATAGTGTCATATGCATTGCCCAAAAATTTTGCAAGACGATGTATAAACATGTATAGTGTCACCAACATTATGCGAAGAAAATGTAGATAAGAATGAGAATAAAAAAAGAACAGTATCTACTGAGACATCTCAACTAGAAACCCCATATAACCAATGCATGGTAATACAGCATTCAAATTGATAATCTAAAACATTATCATTTATTTTTGGAATGCTAAACTCTCATATTTGATTCCGGTTCTAAGTGCTTGATAATTTGTAAACAAAAATGAATATTTCTCTCAGTGGATGAATAGATTAAATTATTTCCCGCTTTGAATTTCACGTGAATTTTCCCAATAATATTTCCTGCTAAATTTACTATCAAGATGATGATCCCATTTTCCCGCCATATTCGTCTGATCAACCATGCATGATTTTAATGTGTCCCATTGGCAAGTAGGTTTTCGATGTTCTTCAACACGGACTAGATTTCCGGTAATCTTCTATGTATTTTTACTACACCTGCATGGACTTTAATGCAAACTGTTCTTGGACAAGTTGCATAAAGAATGATGCGCAAGAACTATTGAACCGTATGAAGTCGATAAGCGCTTCCATAATTTTTTCCTGTGAAAACGCAGAATAGCAACTGTTTTTAGTGGATGTATTAAACAATTAGATATCCTATTATTTCAAGACATCTGTTCAACATAAGCAATGATTCACTGAACAATACTTTAACTTCAATGGTGAATATCAATAAAGACTCAATAATGAGATGGCACAATGCGCCCAACATCGCGATAAATTCATATGTAGTGACACAGTCATTGAAAAACATGAAATAATCAGCAGTAGAAAGAAATATCAAAATGCGGCAACTAATGTCAAATTTCTAACTCAGAATTCTTTACTATAAACTTTAGTATCAGGAAGCAAATAAATTAAATTAGTGGGTTTATATATTTTCCCAGGTTCAGTATCGTCTTTTCAACTTCTTGCTCTCTAGATACAATCTATTAGACATAATTTGAAAACGTAGGGTTGTTAAAGAATTTACGTTTTCAAGAGTGATAGTTATTGTATATATTCACGGTTTATGGCAATTTGTTTAACACGTTGTATGACAAACCCAAGCAGGAGAGTATCAGGTAGGGCCCGTTTTTTAATTATTTTTTTTTTTTGAAACGGAATATGTTAGTGATCAATGACAGTTATTGTTAGTGTTAATATCTTTTGACAAAATGGCTGACATTTCTTTGTTAAACTTCGATGTCACCAACTAGATGTGACGGCTACCATCTTGTGCGAATAATATTGCTTTTAAGGGTAAATAAGTTTACGTTATTTTATAGCATTATTACGCTACATTCCAAATAAAGAATAATTATTATTAGCTATAAATATGAATTTATATTTATTTCATAAATACGGCCAATTAAACATATACTTGTGAGAAAAGTAATCCCGCGTATGTTACGAACAATTAAACTGAATAAATTTCCTTGAGCCTTGATTTTAAAACTCCTATATATTTATAAAGCATTCAAGTAAAAGATACGTGAAGCGGAGTGCCCTATGCATTTCCCCAAAATTTCGTAAGACGCATACGTGGCTTCGTATATAAATATGTATAGTGTCTCCAATATTATGCCAAGAAAATGAATAAAACAATGAGAATAAAAACATCAACAGGATCTAAAGACACATGAAAACCAGAAACTTCATGTCACATCAACTGCAAACTCCAAATAATAAGCTGAGACCGCACGTTCCCCGAGACAGAGAAAAACATCACATTGTTCCAGTGCCGAGAATGTAAATGTGTCTAATGCAGTAGGCCTTCGCAACTCAAATATCGTCATCTCAAGGAGGAGTCCTGAATTAAAAACCCAAGACGGAAGACATGATCCAGATCCAAATCTAACCTCCAGTCATCAGAAAGAAATACATATAAAAAGGTCGGTTATCGAAATCAACCGCTAAATCACAAAATATCAGATAAGTTCCTAAACCCCTTCACCGATATTATAAAAGCTTGCAACAGTACAATAACATTATGTTCATGCAAACACCATTATATACGTAATATCAGATTATTAATATTATCCTATTACCTATGTTCAGTTCTGCATTCGTTATCGCCCATTTTCTTCCAACTTTGATTGGACGCAATATTTCATGCTATCCGTTTATATGTTATTGTCATTTGTCCCATTTTCGTGTTATTAAAAATATTATATTTATTAACATCGATTGTTTCATTCGTCTTTGGCCTACGGTCGGTCGAATGTATCATTTAGGGGATACGGGAAAATTAATTTCAATTAAATTCTGATTGAATTAATATATATATATATTTTTTTACTTTATCTATTCCGCCGATGATACGCTAATACAAGGGAACAACCCTAACCCCTAGACAAGAATCCTTTAACGGAACGTTAATTGAGAAATAAAAAGGAATATTGTAGTGGTGCTGTAAGTATTGTTGGCTAGGGTCACCATGAATATAATAAAGAAGGAAGGCTGTGTTCTTGTAAAACAACACCTCACATGAATAATGCACAACAAACACGAGAGAAAAATAATCAAGCTCAGTGAACATTAATAAAATATTGTATTAACAATGATATACAAATATCAACAATAGTATAAAGAAAGTTGCTTCCCTTTGTCCGAAATAAAAAGGGTAAGTTTAGCTAATTAATGTTGAGTACAATATTGAATGTTATTTAACTACAAAGTTCAATTGAAGTCTTAGTTAAATAAAGAATAGTTCCACAGTGTTTTCTCAGTGTAAAAAAGATGTAATGTTCATGAGTGATATCAAGAGGAATTAGTATGTTTACTCGATTGAGTAACAATTAAGAATTAAAATGTCAATATAGCATCGTGCCTTATTTTCCAAGAATTGAACTGCTACTGGCTGTTAGCAAACAGCGAGAGTCTTTTTATAACGATGGGTAGGCTCCAGCCAGCTTGGCGCTAAAAATATAGACAGATACTAAAATACACGATTGGTCAGGTAATGGACCTATCCGTGATTTTAGAGAAAATTTCAAATTACATGCGATGGCAAAATTGTCATATGATAAGTATCATGTTTTTACGAACCAATGATATTGAAATAAATGGAGGTGTGGCACATGTAAATGATCCCCACAATACCCCGTCAAGATTAAAAAATCAGGGAAGAAAGAGTTTTCAATATGTAATGAAAGTTCTGAACTTCTTAGGCCAGTGGACGGTACGTCCGCTAGCAGTCCTAGTAGGTCCTGGTGACGAACGGGCTCTTAGGTTGATTGGTTGATCCATCGCGTTCAATACATGCAGGTTTTAAGCGATCGATAGAGAAAGTCGATCGGCCGTGGTTAGTCTGTAAAGTATAATATTTATCGATCCGGGCAAGGACACGAAATAGACCCGCATAATGTGGTGTCAGTGGCTTTCTAACAGAATCCTGTCGTACAAAAACGTACTCGCATTCCAGTAAGGAAGGAGGTACATAAACGTCACGTGAAGTGTAACGGGTTGGCGTAAAAGCAAGGGAAGAAAATAGGTGATAAAACTGGACGAAGGTTCCTGTGTAGATGTTACGGAAAAATATTGACCTGGTAGTACCAATTGTTGTCTGAAAACTAGATCAGCAGGCGAGCATTTCAGATCTTCTTTTACTTGTGTGCGAAGTGAAAGTAAGACAAAAGGTAAGTTGTAGCAGCCTTAAGTTGGCGGTGGAAACGCTCAACTAGGCCATTGGAACATGGGTGGTAAGCAGATGTTGATATATGACGAGCTTCAACTAGATTAGTAAATTCTGTGAATAGCTGAGGTTGGAACTGCGGTCCTCGATCAGTGGTAATGATCAAGGGGCATCCGTAAATGGAAATCCACTGTTGAAATATGGCTCTTGTCACAGATTCAGCGGTAGTGCTGTTGAGTGGAACGGCAACCAACCGTCTCGTAAATCTATCTATAATTGTAAAAATGTATTGACATCCCCGAACTTCCGCTAAGGGCCCCACATATAGATGTCGGAAACGACCATCAGGGGTAGCAAAACGACCAACTGGTGTCTTAGTGTGTCTTTGGATGTTGTTTTGCTGACAAACAACACAAGATTGAGTATAGCGAGTAATGTCTTTACGAATCTTAGGCCAGACGAAACGGTCTGCAATTAACCTAAGTGTAGCTTTACGACCAGGGTGGGATAACGAATGAAAGTGGTCGAATATTTGTCGCCGCATGTTGGTTGGGACGACGGGTCGAGGATTACGTAGACTGGTGTCGCATGCGATAAGCTTATCAGTAAAGGGCAAGGGATGATGCTCAATATGTAGTGACGAATTTCGAAGTGAGTCGAGCAAAGTTATCTCCCGTACTTGTATATCCGCGATTTTTTCCATGTCTAAAGTATCTTGCAGGCTTCCACACAAGGATGCTCAGGAAAGTGTATCGGCAGCAATGTTAACCTTTCCTTTAATGTGACGTATATCCGATGTAAACTGAGATATATAATCAAGATATCTGTAGTCCCGAGGATTGTACTTGTCTGATTTAGTTGAAAGGGCAAAAGTGAGAGGCTTGTGATCTGTGTAGATCACAAAGTGTCTACCCTCTAAAAGGTGTTTAAAATACTTAATTGACAAGTATATAGCTAAAAGTGCCCTTGAAAAGGTACTATACTTCTTCTGTGTGGACGTCAATTTAACGGAGAAGAAGGAAAATGGCAAGATTTAGCGTCAACATGTTGGTGTAAAACTGCGCCTATGGCGTCAGAAGATACGTCAGTCGTTATTGATAACTGAGTGGTAACATTGTCAGTGAGGCCTGAAAGTTTCGTAAAGTTGACCAATGCTTTACGAGAGTTGACAAATGCTTGCGTTGTGTCGTTGTTCCAACAAATAGGAGTATTTTTACAGTCTCGCCCGCCAAGTATATTCGTCAGGGGTGCAAGAATTTGTGAACAACGTGGGATGAATTGACGATAATAATTGATTAAGCCAATGTATCTGCGAAGCTGTCGAAGTGTCGAGGGCTTCGGAAATTCCTGGATAGCACGTATCCTTTCAGGTAGAGGAGTAATACCTGTAGCATCAATGACGAAACCGAGAAAGTGGAGTTGCGAAACGGCAAACTCGCACTTCTCTGGGTTGATTTTGAAACCAAAGTTCTGAAGACGATCAAAGACTCGCTGAATATGTTTACGATGCTCCTGTAAATTAGGGCTAGCTATTAGAAGACCATCAATGTATGCGAAAGTGAAAGGTAGTTCACGAAGTACCTCATCTATAAGGCGTTGGAATGATTGGGCTGCGTTGCGCAGTCCAAAAGGCATACGCAGAAATTCAAATAAACCAAACGGTGTGGTAATCGCAGTTTTGGGAATATCTTCGTCAGCAACTGGGACCTGATGAAAGGCTTTGCGCAGATCCAGTTTGGTGAAGACAGTTGCTCCCTGTAATGTAACAGCAAAGTCGGTCAAATTGGGAACTGGGTACTTATCGGGTACCGTTTGTGAGATAAGTCGTCTATAGTCGCCACACGGCCTCCAGGCGCCCTGCTGAGCCTTAGTGACCATGTAAAGCGGTGATGCATATGGACTCGAGGATGGGCGAATAATCCCGAGGTCGAGCATGTGTTGGAACACGGCCCGAGCAATCTTGTATTTATCCGGCGCAAGACGGCGAGGTTTAGAATAGACAGGATGTTCGGTAGTTCGAATCCTGTGTACAGTGCTGTGCTTGACAGGCTCTGTATAAGTAAAAGGCTGTATCAACGAGGGAAATTTATTCAAAATATCTTGAATCGGATTATCACGCTGCACAGCGATGCGTAATTCTGTGGATATTAGCTGTGATACAATTCCGCGGTTAGATAGCTTCGTGGTGGAGTCAGATAACTGACGCTGTCAGAGGTCCACGATGAGTTGATAATGTGCCAGAAAGTCGGCGCCTAATATGGGGAATTTCACGTCTGCAACAGTGATATGATATGTCCTTCTAAGTCCAATATCCAGAGTTAATGATTGTTCACCAAAAGTCTTGAGGTTTGTGCCGTTAGCGGCGCGTAAAGTGACTGAAGAGTTAGTCTTAATGAAGTTGGGTGATGGTGGAACAACGCTAAGCTGTGCTTCCGTATGTATTAGGAATGACATGTTAGTCTTTTATATAGAAGATACAGTTAGTAATATGTGTCCCAACAGTAGATGCCGCCTTCAAGTGCTACTGGGATCGGCGTTTCCCGCCTTCCGTAATGCTTTGGGTGAAGTTTGGCACTTGAAGGCACACGGTTTAATGCATCTGTAAGCTCTATCACCGAACTTAAGATGGTACCAGCATAGCGTGGGTCGGCGAGCGCGAGTAGCATAATGAGAGCGTCACCGTACCTTGTATGAGTTTTTATCCTCTGGTCTGGTAAGATGCTGCACCTGAGTGGAAAGCCTCTAGAGTTGCTGTTTCAGCTGTTCTATTACATCCATCATAGCAGCGTCAGTGGGTACAGTGGAGTCCACGCTGCTGATGCTGGGTACTTCATTAATTTTATCAGCAATCTCAGCAATTCTTGAAAGATCTAAGTCATCAGGAACCGTAGCCAGAATCTGTGAAGTGTATGGCGGTAACTTGTCCAGCCAAAGTTTGCGGAATAGTGATTCCGACATCAAGTCATTTCTTAACAGACTCTTCATTCGTCTGAGTAACTGCGACGGGCAGCTATCTCCGAGCTGTGTAGTATTAAATAGATCGTGCAACCTGCGCTCATGCGATTTTCCAGTACGGTAGATAATGGCTTCCTTTAGTACATCAAAGGGGTTATGAGCGGGAACGGTTTCTAGAAGGTCTAGCGCGTTAGCAGCGATCTCTGGTGGTAGCTTCTCGACTATGTATGCGTAACGCGCAGTCTGAGAGTGAATATGCTTTGCTTGGAATATGGATTCAGTCTGGTCGAACTATTCGTTTACATTAGCCATGTCGAAAGTTGGGAGGGTCAGCACAACGGCTATCTCTTGTGCGGACTGTTCAGCCATTATGATTTAGCACGTGGTGTTTTGGCGCGAAGTAATATCTTTCGATAAACTGGATCGGTAAGTCGTCCAAATTTAGTAGTAGATGCGGTCCTACGACGAACGTCAGGTTCATCAATTGTAGTGCAGAATTTAGTTCCAACGTCAGGTTTACCAACAGTAGTTCCTACGTCGAACGTCGGTTTTCCCAATTGTAGTAGGTACGCCAGGGTTATCAATTTAGTTGGCACGTCGGGGTTACCAAATGTAGATCCTACGTTGAACGTCGGGGTCATCAAATGTAGTGGTGCTGTAAGTATTGTTGGCTAGGGTACACCATGAATATAATAAAGAAGGAAGGCTGTGTTCTTGTAAAACAACACCCCAAATGAATAATGCACAACAAACACGAGAGAAAAATAATAAGCTCAGTGAACATTAATACAATATTGTATTAACAATGATATACAAATATCAACAATAGTATAAAGAAAGTTGCTTTCCTTTGTCCGTAATAAAAAGAGTAAGTTTAGCTAATTAATGTTGAGTACAGTATTGAATGTTATTTAACTACAAAGTTCAATTGAAGTCTTAGCTAAAGAAAGAATAGTTCCACAGTGTTTTATCACTGTAGAAATATGTAATGCTCATGAGTGATATCAATAGGAATTAATATGTTTACTCGATTGAGTAACAATTAAGAATTAAAATGTCAATATCGCGCTGTGCCTTATTTTCCAAGAATTGAGCTGCTACTGGCTGTTCGCAAACAGCGAGAGTCTTTTTATAACGATGGGTAGGCTCCAGCCAGCTTGGCGCTAAAAATATAGACAGATACTAAAATACACGATTGGTCAGGTAATGGACCTATCCGTGATTTTAGAGAAAATTTCAAATTACATGCGATGGCAAAATTGTCATATGATAAGTATCATGTTTTTACGAACCAATGATAATGAAGGAAATGGAGGTGTGGCACATGTAAATGATCCCCACAATATCATCATGCGGGATATATTGATCGTAACCCGGCATTATCTGTCCGTATGATAATAACGTTTCGGGGTGGATAGATGATAAGACAAAAATGTTTATTACTATCAGCTGATGAATAGATTAAATGATTCCCCGCTTTGAGATTCAGATAAATTTCTGAACAATAATTCCTGCTAAAAATTTACTATTAACAAGGCAGCGTCATGTATGTAAATATCGGAACAAGTGATTCAAAAATATATATTTAAGCTATTGAATTAATCCATTGTGTCAGCAATAAAGATATGCAGCTTCCAAATCTCTGCTAATGCAACCGATTGCAGGCTCATTGTTGGCATGTTGCAAATTGCCCTCTGAATTCTGTCATCACTGATAATTATAGCGGCTGAAATATCTATCATTTCCCATATTTTTTAGTTGTGACGAAAAATTTAGCCAATGAATAATTTCCCTTGGCAGCCACAAACATTTGACGTCAACATAGATTATAACAGCGCCAACAAGACTTAAAATGTTAGAATATTAGAAAGACACCACTAATATATAACCAAGTATAGTGCAAATACTCGGAAGAAAAATTGAAAGCGCTAGATTACTAATATCAGAAAATATCTGTAATCGCTGTAACGGAATGTAAGGGCTTTCATACATAAACAGGAACAATTGACGATAGATAACAAACAAAAGCGAAACAAATCTTCTGTGCCACTTTAAATAAACTACGTATCAATATGTTCGTCGTATGGTCGATTCTGGCTGAAAATGAGTCACCAGAAAGCTGATATCATAGCAAGTTATAAATAAGCAAGAACACACAGAGAGAAACGTATGTGTATGTATGTATGAATATAGACATATATATATATATATATATATATATATATATATATATATATATATATATATATATATATATATATATATATATATAGAGAGAGAGAGAGAGAGAGAGAGAGAAGGAGAGAGCTACATACATACATAAGAACAATGGTAGGAAATTAATTACAATGAGAAAAATCGTGCGACGCGTTTTGAACTTTGACTTCATTGGACTAAAGTGATGTATATGCTGAGGTAACTAGACACGCGCACGAAGAAAAGAAAATACTGAAATTATAATGTTTATTTTTTTTTCGTAAATATGTATTTGGATGTATAGTCTATTCATCTTATTTCTTTGTTTTTGTTTATATTTTATCAATTTTGCATAAATTATTTTAAATTT